ATGTATGGTGCCAGGTGGGTACTGGAATTATTGAACTAATACAAAATAATATTGCATTTTTTAAAAGACAGAAAATTTTTTTTAAAAGAAACCTTTTGAGCTTTTGATTTTGGAGTACAAAATATAAATGTGTGCCACTGCAAACCAGTGAGATCAGAGCTAAATAAGTCCCTGTGTTGGTATGTGTTGGGGTGAGAGGGCTAGTCCAAGTTGATTGTGGTAATGGAAATGCCTGAGTCCATGTAAATAATTGTGCTGTTATAAAACACAGATTTAGACCTTTGCTGACATTCTGAATTCTTGAGGATTTCTGAATCCTGCCCAGGCCATGAAATGCTTGTTTAAGGAGCTGTTGTGCAAGCACAGGCTGCCTAGTGAGACCCAGGAGGCCACTAAAATAGCTTCTTCACGGAGGAATCTCACCTCCCAACTACACTGCCTAAAGACCCACCATTTGAAACTAGATTAAAGGCATTTTATTTACAGAATCCCCAGGTTAAAATGTACATACTTCTGGGAGAGGTACCATCTTGCACTATCAGCCAGTAATACCATGTTTTAAACTTATTTTCAGACCACCTAACTAGCCATGAAGCACAGGTTGGGGGGCGGGGGGGGGGGCGGGGGAGGAGCGTGGCCCATGGTGTTGGTGGACTGCACTGGGAGAGGCTTCTGGAACTGGAACACGATGAAGGAAGGCTCTCTCCGCTGCTGAGACCTCCACGACAGCTAGCAGCAGCTCCCCACTCCTGTTTCCTCAGCCGTCATTTGGAGGCACCCGCTTCACCAGTTATTGTGACCTCGAAATTAGTTTAGTGGCATGTGTGGAGCAACGCTCATGGCAGGTAGTATTACAGCACAGGAGAATGCCAGTGGAGGGCCCTGGGCGGCCAGAGACAACGGTTAAGGCCATCTTGGGCCCGCAAGAATCAAGACAGATAATGCGGCATAAAAATGATGTGAAAAGCATGTGCTTGGGGGATGGCCACAAGGCCACCTGGAGCTAATTTTGGTGAAGTTTTAAGTTGTACTTTTTAAAATGAAACATAATGTCCAGAGTCTGAGTCTGAAGGTCTCAGAACTATAAGCAAGTGGAGGTTACAAATTCAGACAGGCACGGCAGAAACCGTTGCTGTGACTTCACTGGTGTGCGTGCTCTGTTAGGGTAATGGGGTCCCTTCGAGGGTGCTGAGGTGAAAGGGTATAGGAACATGAGCAGACTTCTACTGAGAGCCTACTGCATTGCAGTGTTACAAAGAGCTGGGTGAGTGGAGGTCCAAGACAAACAAAAAAGGAGGAAACAATCCAAATGTCCATCAATGGGTGAGCAGGTAAACAAAATGTGGAACATACACACAGTGGGATGTTTTTCAGCCTAAAAGGAATGAAATTCTGCCACATGCTACAACGTGGTTGAACCTTGAAGACATGATGCTAAATTAAATAAGCCAGACACAAAGGACAAATATTGTAATGATTCCACTCATATGAGATATCCAGAGTAGTCAGAGTTACAGAGAGGAGAAGCAGAATCATGGTTGCCAAGGAGCTGGGGGGTGGAGTGGGGTGGGGGCAATGGGAGTTATTCTTTAATGGGTGCAGAGTCTCAGTTTGGGATGATGGAAAAATTCTAGACATAGTGCTGATGGTTGCACCTATGTGAATGTACTTCATGACTGAACTGTACACTTAAATTGGTAAATTTTATTCTACGTATATTTTAGCACACCACAAACAAACAAACAAAAGCAAGGAGCTCTTTTTGGTCTTCAGATGTTTGAATTTAAAAAGAGAAGGTACAGCCACAATAGAGGGCAGCGCAGAGGAAAGAATGGAACAGACAACTGGGCAGGGGTCCTGGGGCACCGCTCACTTTCAGCCAGGGGACTTACTAGCAGAAAGCACTATTGGACATAACAATGATCTATCTCCCCGGCTCCCCCCTGAGACGGTGAGTACCCTCACACCAGGGACTGCTGTTTTCTGCTTTCTCTCTCCAGAGCCTAATGCCAGCCACAAAGTAGCATCTCAGTACAGGCTTGTGGAATGACTCTTTGGGGAGGGACGCCGCCCAAAGTATCTGCCATTTGGAAACACATTCAGGTTCATGTTCATGGGTCAGTCCTGGGCTGCGCTATATGACATAAAACGGGGACAGCCCAGAGAGGAGTCACGTGGGTTTCCGTCCCGGGAGCTTACACCCCAGGTCTCCACCAGCCTCCGCCCATCTGAGGAGGTCCCTGGATCTCACGGAGCCTCGGTCAGGGGCCAGGGTAACTGGCTGAGTGGCCACTCCTCCCGCGCACAATTCTGGTAAAACCTCAGGGGCTCCTGGAGCGCCCAAACCGACCGAAGCCTGGTAGCGCAAGAAACGCAAAAAAGAAAAAAAAAGGGGTGGGGGTGGGGGTGGGGGAGGGCAGGCAGGCAGGCAGGCAAATAAAAGAAAGGAAAAAAAACAAAACAAAACGAAACAGCTCGGTGGGAATGAATCTTGGCGAGCTCAGGATCCCGGCTAGAGCCTGGACCAGAGCAGCGCCTTGCCACCGCCAGGGGGCAGCCCTCCCCCACGCGGTCTCCTCCGGCCCCGTAGGCGCCCCGCCAATTCCTGCGTCCACGCCGGCAGGACGCGCAGGACCGGGGTCAACGTGTGGTCCCCGGCCCGCTTCACGGAAATGTTTCTCGTGCCTCGTACTTGCTTGAGGGCGGGGTGGCGTTCCCAGCCTCGGTTGAGAGCTGGGTGCTCGTAGGGAGGGAGGGCAATGAGGTAGGGGACAAGGGGGGGGGGGGCGAACGGGGCAGAGCGGGGGGTGGGGGACGGGGGGGGGGGGCGCGGGGGGAAACGAAACGCTTGGGTCTCCGCGCTGGGGGACTTTTACGAGCGCAGAGCTAAAAATCACATACAAATGTGTAGCTTAACTAAAACAAACAAAGCAAGTGGACTGCCCAAATGCGGGGCTTTAGAAAAGCTCACCCAAATCTCGGGTAACACTCTGTCCCTGCAGCGGTCTTCCTGGGTTGATCTTTCGCTCTGACCTTCAGTAAATCCCAACACTTTCTCCTGAATAGTCAGAAGATAATTTGCCACTTTCTAAAAAAAAAGTTTTCAGGGAAGAGCCCCTTAACCCTTTGGGGAGGGACCTTCAGACAGTTATAAACAGAACTTCTTGGCCCGACAAGTTCAGGGCAGCGGTAACAGCAGAAGGAGGGCTGTAACTTTAGATTCTAAAGTAACTAATGGTCGGCGAACAAATTCTTCCTCTCCGTTTCATCTTTACTTTGCCACACACCAACCCCCAGTCCAACGAAAATCATGGTGTTTATTTAGAAATGGGCTGAGCAGTACTTACACAACTGAAACTTTCAAACGTAAAAGTGAACTCCTTGGTAAGGACTCCTGGCTACAACAACAAAGCAATGTAATGCCTGATTAATAGTGCTGATTAATGTTGGCTCAGGTTAATCCTAAACCCCATTACAATAATTAAATGGTTCAGCCATATATCAAGTGAAAAATAATTTATTTAGAACTTTGAGACATTCTCATAGATCTTTCAAATCTATGATGAACTTCATGGGTCATTTGTAAGTGTAACTGGTTGGTAGCTGTTCTCAGCAACAAAAACTCGATTTAAAAAGAAGTCTTAAATGGGGGAATAGTTTATTTTTGAGGCTCTGTGATTGATAAGGGGAATAGTGAAACGTTTCAAAATGTGCAAAGTACTTGGTCGATAAAACGATGTACACAAGGGTAGATGATGATTGTTCTTACAGAAAGCCATTGAGTTTTGATTCTCAGTTCTTGTCAAGTTGTCATTTTAATTAGAAAGCCAGAAATTTGAGGCAAGTTCCCCACTTTGAAATAGAAGTGTTTCAGGAAATGCCCAAATCCAAAAAGTATTGCTATGGGAGTGTGAATTCACAGCTATTATAATTTTTCACTAGCCAAAATGATTGGAGTTGGTGACAAACATAGGTATACTTAAAATAGAATCATATTTGAATATTTGCTTACTGTCACCTGAAAAGAAAAATTGAGTTGACTAGAACTCGAGTCTTTTTTTTTTTTTAATTTCAATTCTTTTCACCAGTAGCTATTGGAAATACTTAGTGGATTAAAAAAACACATTTAAAAATGTCTGAAAATTTTTATCTATCATGATAGTTTCTATTATGAAGCCCACCTGAGTAGAGATGTTTGTATACATTACAGTAATTTAAGTATTTGGAGATTACTGTGAAGTGTTGAGTAGGAAGTTCCTCTTACCTATAACTAGAGAGTCCCTTCCCCCATTATGAAAAGACTTTCAGTTTCTAGGTACAAAAACTTTTTTTGAATTTTTTTTGTGTGTGTATTCGGTTTTTCATTAAGTGTTTCTATTTCTTCTCTGCATTCAATCATTGCTTTCTTTATTCCCACTAAAATTTTCAGGTCCTCTCATTAGAGTGGTTTAGTTTAGCTGTCACATTTCTAGAGCATTCAATTGCAGATCAGTGACTAAAACGCCGCCCTAACAGCATTTTTATTAACAGATGGGGGGAAACAAACGTCTTTGGAGAAGAACTGAAGGAGTCAGGTTAAAAGGTCAATAAACAATTATTGTGCTTAAACGAGGTGTGGGGGGGGATCTCATCAGGTTCGATGGGGGCGCTCGCCCAATCTAGGAGAGATGGGACAACCCAGCAGACCTTAGAGCCATTCCCCAGGGACCACCGCAGACGAGGGGGTGTCGCGGTGCCGGGCTGCACGGCTCCTGCAGGCCGTGGAGCGGTCGCACGGTCGAGTCCAGAGAGCGCATCTGGAGGTGGGGCTGAGCGCTCACGGAAGAGGAGGAGGCGGGGAACTCCGACTCCCGCCGCGGGCCCAGACCCCCGCGGGCCAGCCCGTCAACCAGGGCTCAGCCCTGGCGGCAAGGAACCTGGGGGCCTCCTGCTCCCTCTTCCCAGCCCTCGCTCCCGCCTGCGGGTGAACTTTCTCTCTGAGCAGAGCCGGTTTCCTAGGCTTTGCTGCGCTCCCTCGGCCGCGCTCTGACGTACACACCATGTGACAGGTTCCCTTCAGCTATAAGCGGAGCAAAGGTCCGCCCTCTCCTGGTCTCAGCCCTCGGCTCGCGGAGCTCTGTCCCTAGACTCTCGGTTCCGCACCCTCCCGGGCGTCCGACTAGCTCTCCCAGGGCCCCGCCACCCCCTCCTCCAGGGACCCGGCCAGGGGCGCTCGGAGGGGAAGGTCAAGTGCCCCTCCCCGGCCGGGTGAGCGCAGAGCGAGGGAGCGCAGAGCCGCGGGGAGACCGCGGCGGCGCAGGAGTTACAAAGTCGCCGCGCCAGCCTCGGCCGCGCCGGCCCCGCCGCCGGAGCGCACGCAGCCGGAGCGCCGGCAGCGCCCCCAGCGTGGCGCCCCGGGGCCGGGCCCGCCGCCCGGGACCAGGGCTGGGGCGCGGCGGGAGCCCGGAGCCCGGCGCCCCGATGCGCCACCTCGCCGCCGCCGCGCGCCAGCGATGACCCTGAGCGCGGAGATGTCCGATGCCTCCGGCCTCGCCGAGGAGACAGACATCGACGTGGTGGGGGAGGGCGAGGACGAGGACGACGAGGAAGAGGACGACGAGGGCGGCGGCGGCGGCGGCGGGGGGCCCCGGCTGGCGGTCCCCGCGCGGCGGCGCCGCTCCTACGCCGAGGACGAGCTGGAGGACCTGGAGGAAGAGGACGACGACGAGGACATCCTACTGGCCCCGCGGGCGGGAGGCTCCCCGGGGCCCCCGGGCCCAGCCCCGGCCGCGGGGCCCGGGGCCGGCGGGGGCGGCGGCGCGGGCGGCGGCGGGGGCGGCGGAGGCGCGGGCGGCCCCAAGAACCCGCTGGTGAAGCCGCCCTACTCGTACATCGCGCTCATCACCATGGCCATCCTGCAGAGCCCCAAGAAGCGGCTGACGCTGAGCGAGATCTGCGAGTTCATCAGCGGCCGCTTCCCCTACTACCGGGAGAAGTTCCCCGCCTGGCAGAACAGCATCCGCCACAACCTCTCGCTCAACGACTGCTTCGTCAAGATCCCCCGCGAGCCCGGCAACCCGGGCAAGGGCAACTACTGGACGCTGGACCCGGAGTCCGCCGACATGTTCGACAACGGCAGCTTCCTGCGCCGGAGGAAGCGCTTCAAGCGGCAGCCGCTGCTCCCGCCCAACGCCGCTGCCGCCGCCGAGTCGCTGCTGCTCCGCGGCGCCGGGGGCGCGGGAGGCGCGGGCGACCCGGCGGTCGCCGCCGCAGCGCTCTTCCCGCCGGCGCCGCCCCCGCCCCCGCACGCCTACGGCTACGGCCCCTACGGCTGCGGCTACGGCCTGCAGCTGCCGCCCTACGCGCCGCCCTCCGCCCTCTTCGCGGCCGCCGCGGCCGCCGCCGCCGCCGCCTTCCACCCGCACTCGCCCCCGCCCCCGCCGCCCCCGCACGGCGCGGCCGCCGAGCTGGCCCGGACCGCCTTCGGCTACCGGCCGCCCCCGCTCGGCGCCGCCTTGCCCGGGCCCCTGCCGACCTCCGCGACCAAGGCGGGCGGCCCCGGCGCCTCGGCCCTGGCGCGCTCGCCCTTCTCCATCGAGAGCATCATCGGGGGCAGCTTGGGCCCGGCCGCCGCCGCCGCCGCGCAGGCCGCCGCCGCCGCGCAGGCCTCGCCCTCGCCCTCGCCCGTGGTGACGCCGCCCGCGCCCGGACCCGGACCCGGACCCGGACCCGGACCCGGACCCGGACCCGGACCCGGACCCGGCGGCGGCTGCGCGGCTCAGGCGGCCGTGGGTCCCGCTGCCGCGCTCACTCGCTCCCTTGTGGCCGCCGCGGCCGCCGCCGCCTCCTCCGTCTCCTCGTCGGCCGCCCTGGGGACTCTGCACCAAGGGACCGCCCTGTCCAGTGTGGAGAACTTTACTGCTAGGATTTCCAATTGTTAGTAACGCTCTTAGCGCGCTTGAGGAAGAAGGTAGGCTCGCTCCTTTTCTCCCCTCGGTGGCTCTGGTGTCCGGTCCGCTCCTCCCGGCCTCGCACCCCGTCCTCGCCGCTGCGGATTCTCGGAGGAGACTGTTTGGCCGCAGCTCGGCGCGCCCTTTGGCTCCGCGGGTCCTGGTATTTATGCGAAGTCGCCCGGTGCTGCAGCCTCCGGCCCGGGTGGGGAGGAAGAGGGTGCTGGGGGGCCCGCCCGGTCTAGGCACCAGGGGCTTCCTTGACTTTGGGGAAATCTTAAACATTCTAAAGCCTTTTTGAGGTCTAGAGATTCTCAGGTCCAGGCATTAATCCATAATGTTCAAAATACGAATACAGAAATAGTAAAGGTCCTGAAGAATGCCAGCAAAGCAATAGTTTTTATTTGAGGACACTTGTCTGGTGTACTTTTTCATGAAAAGGAAAAAAACACACACAAACATGTTTACACAAGGAAAAAAGTCAAAATTTTCTTATTTTAACCTGTGTTTTGTATCATAATAGACACGCGGAACTTTTATTTTGTACTTCATATTCTTTACAAGGAGTATTGTAAATTTTACTGGCAATTGTACTATTCTAATGTAAGATTTTTACACTTTTTCAGAAATAAAATGCTTACTTTTCAAAGAAAACCCACCAAAAGAATTGGCTTCAGTCGTCCCCTTCTCAGTTTGCTTTATTTTTTATTTTTTAAAAAATTTCTATGTGAGAGAAGTCGGAACGAACCCATTATAGAAAAGGCAAATGCTATTTTCAAAGAGAATTTAACAAAAACTTCATTGCAGGAGATCAGAAATTATTTTTAAAAGACTACAAATAAAAGAAGTCACTTTGGTAAACATTGTCAAATCTCATTCTGTTCCATTTTGATGATTATTAAGGAGATTGAAAATTAAAGCCACTGTTACCCTAGGATATAATTTTATAGAACTTTTCATTTTATTTTTGAGCTCCCCATTTCAAGCAGTTCCCATTCACGTTTGAGCGCAATATTGTATGTGTCTATAAAAACTCTGCAACATAGTATTATATAGTAACAGAAACACTACAAGTAAATAGACAGTTTTTAGTTTTAAAAATGTAATAGACATGATCATCAGTTAAATAGCTTTAAAGTCCCGAATAAGAAAATATATACAAATATATTTTATGTATTTACATATTCAAAATAAGTTGTATTTGAAAGTCCTGGTATTTACTAGTAAAGCTACTATTTTCTCAACAGAAGAGATTCCAGTAATTGCATAAAGAAGTTTTTATCCTAAAGTGCAAACATCAAAATTCTGGTTTAAATGAATAATAATAAAAATGAAAATGCATCAGGTGTTTATTGAACTAACTATATTTGTACAATTTAGATAACTTATAATACCTTTTCAAATTCTATATGTTTTCTTTAAACTTATTGCAGGCAATTTTTAGATCTTGAAGATATGTGAAACTACTTTTGATGACTGAATGTTACTGAGGGCTTCAAATAAAACCAGGGCATGTGTAAAACATAATTTAAATGCTTAATATCAGTGAGTTGCAGAGTAAGTAAAATCTCTTTATTCAGTTTTTCAAATGCCTGAACAGGTATATATCAGAAGATCTGCAAATTTAACCTAGCAAGTTATCGAAGACTGAATTATAGGCTAGGCCAGTATTTTGCAGTGACATGCATTCTGGATGCTCTGTCCTCTCATTTATTTTTAGAGAGAGAGAGAGAGAACCTGACTCACTGCCTCAAAATTAAGTTCACTCATCCCCCCCTCCCCAACCAAATGCTTGGGAGAAATTAAATGAGTTTAAAATAAACAAATTCACCCTCAAACTTATATAGATAAAATCAAAGTATTGTTAGGCAAAAAGTCCTATATGCAAGTTACTTTTATTCTAGCGCGGCTAAGGGAGAGGGGACATTGGAACCGAGGGCATCCGATGCCACTGCCCCCCCGGGTGGGGAGGCGTTAGCAGGCGGAACCCAAAGGGCATAGGCACTCCTGGCACCTCGAAGCCCTCTATAACGTGTAGCTGTGACGTTTTGATACGAAAGTCATGAGGAAGAGAGCGAAACACAAACACTTGGGTGTCATTATTTGCATGAGGCTTGGAAGTCCTGAACGCAGGGAATCCCAGCCAATCCCTCTGTAAGTTCAGATTCCCGCATTTTTAAAAGAAAGTGCCGGGACAGGCCCCACCTCCCAGTTTGTCAGTGCCCTTAAGGCAATGGCAGGTAAGCACTGGGCGACCCAGCGCTGGCCTCGCTCCGGGTCCCCGGGTCCGGGTCCCGCTTCGTCCGTGCGCTTTAGAGAGACCACCGGCGTCTAGTGAGCTCTGAGCCAAAAGAAAAATAAGCCCGGCCTGGCCTGCAGCTGGGGAGCTGGGAGCAGCGAGGGCCGCGGGCCGGGTGACCTGTGGGCTGGGACAGCAGTGGAATCTGGGCTGCGGGGCGAGGGCCGGGGGCAGGCGAGGGTCGGGCGGTGGACCGTGGACGTGGACCCCGCGAGCCGGGAGCGCGGGGCGAGCCCGGTCAGGCCGCGAAGGCGAGCAGGTGCTGGAACAAAGGCCGCCCGACTACCACGGCCTTTGCCGGGCAAGGACGTCTCCTCCTGGGGCTCCTCATTCGCATGCAAATGCAGCTCGGGTCCCCTTTGAAGGATGTTTGTGTGTTGGTAAGGACGGAGCCCGCTGGAACAAGCCTTCCTCAATAGGCTGGGTCTCGAAAAATAAACCAGTTGGACAAACATTGGCCACCAGCTCTCCTCCTCCCAACTACAAAGTGTGGATTTGCTACAACTCATTAACCCGACGCTTTTCTCCCCTTCTCCTCGTTTCTCCGCTCATCAAACGCCCCCGTAGAGCCTGGAGACAAATGACCGAGGCGCAGTCGGGAGGGAATTGCAGTTAATAGGGAGAGGGACCTATTGGGGCTAATGGTTCGGGCAGATCCCGGAGACGGACCACACAAAAAGGAGCCTCTCCATTCAGGGCTCTATGGTGCCGCGGAGGTTTAATCTGCGGCTGGATTTAGCCAAATGTTATCTATTGCGGAGGTAATGAAGCCCTTATGGATTGAATTGCTCCTTGTACCACACATGGTGTCATGACCTGAGATTGTTTCTTGGTTGGTTTCTTTTTTCTCTATTGGGTAATTGTTTTATTTCTTTAAAATAAGCTAGCGCTTCTGCTCAACAACGCGTTTATTCCCCATCCCCATTCCCTGCATTTATTTAAGAGCCACTTCCTCTAAAAAAAAAAAAAAAGAAGAAGAAAGAAAGAGAGAGAGAGAAAGAAAAGTAAAGAAAGAAAAGGAAAAAAGAAACTAGGGAGAGGAAGGAAAAAAGATGAGGACCTATTTTCTCCCTATTTTTGACTCACTGAGATGTGTCTGTTTGCACATCTCTACTTCTCCATTCCCTGCTCAAAGGTCCTTTCCTGCCCAAACTTTCTGCTGATGGAACTAAAATTCGGGGTGTATTTATTATAAAATTCTTACAGTACATGTAGTAAGCATCCATTTGGGAGGAAGGCTTCTGCCCTTCCCAGCATTTTTTTTCTTCTTTTTAACACACCATTTCTTCCTGCAGCCTGTCCTCTGAGGACCTGGGGGCGGTGGTTATTCTGATGGAAGGTGATTATTTTGATGGACTACCAGCCTGTGTCATTTGTTAAAGGCTGTTTGAGGCCAGCGGTTGTACCGGTTTTGTTTTCCTCTCTATGGCCCTGGTGGCTCTGATTTCCTTGCTTGACTGAAGACCAAGCTTGGAGCAACTAACAGTGTTATTACAACTGCTATTGATGGGTAGGGATGTGATCTTGCTGCGCAAAGCCAGGAATTAAGGACTCCGGTTTTAGTTTTAAAACTCTCTGTCGGCTACACATTTTGCTCACACCTGTTTTTACTACTGACTGCAAAAACGTCATTTGGGGGCAACTTACAGGTCATAACAGCATCAAACTCAATCCAAATCAGAAATCTGCCTGGGAACAACCCTGTTGTCTTTGGGCTCCTCCAGGGGGTCACCTTGGGTCTAATTGGAATGCCAGGGGTCCCCTCCCGCCTTTAGAACTGAACCAGCAAGGACAGGCCTGGGGAGCAGAAGACAAGTGGAGAGTCCCGGGCATTGTCAGCATCCATTCTTGTCTCTACCGGTTTCCTGGTGTTGCAGCTGGGTTTACACTCCTGCACACACAGGCGTGCACGCTCATTGCCCATCAGCTGCCACTTGCCTCCCCTCTCCCCTATGATTTTGTAATTAGGCATATGCTTTTTGTTGGTAAATGTGTTTGATGTCATGGCCAGTGAAACGTGGAGTGTTTATAGGGCCACAAATGTAAATGTGTAAATATGTTTAGTGTAAAATCTGGCCCTTCGACTTTAGCAATAAATACCCTGCCAACTCAGATACGATTACATTTGACAGAAAGATGAAGAATCTGATCGTGACCAGCTGCTCAGGGCTCTTTGGGGCTTGTACTTTCCCAACTGAATTCACTTTTCAGATCATTTCTTTGCATGTTACATCTCTCTAATCACATCTTTCCCTTGATGTGAACAGCTTAGGCTCTTTGCTTTTTATTGTTGACCCTCTGGCATGCAGGAAACTTCCTGGTTCACTCCTCCTGCCTCTTTACCAGGAAAATACTATTCAGTAACAAGCAAACACACAGAGAGGAAACAACTGATCATTATCACCAACCCCTTTTTGAGTCCTGAGTCTTCAGTTGTGATAAGATGGCTAGGAAGAGACATGAGGGTAGATTGTGAGCTCAGAACCACATTTATAATTTTCCTTGCCTTTATCATCATCATCCCAACTTTAAAAACTGTTTTGAGCTACTCTATCTTTTAAAAGTAAATGTTGTAGCAAAGTGTATTACACATACATAAAAATGCACAAATTTCACCCATTTTTTTTTTCCACAAAGTAAACACCCGTGTAACCAGCATCAGACCAAGAAGCAGATGTTACCAGCACCACAGAAAACCCCTTCTCTGGGTATTCCTTTAATTGTTAAAAAGGACTTTCATTAATATTTCTCTCAACTACATTATGAAATAGAGAGGATAAGATTTGTTATTGAGCCCGTTTTAGAAATAAAGATAACAAGGCTCAAAAGATATGAAGTCACTTGCCCAATGTCACAGCTACTGGGACTTCAGCATTTAATTCCATTTCCAGTACATTACACTGCCACTTGGTTACCTGCCCTCCCCCACCCCCACGATGGGGCAGTTGCCTTAGAGATCACTATATAGAAGAGTCATTTATTTATTATATGCTTTTTTTGGATTCTTGCTAGACCTTCCTCCCTGCCATCTCTACACAGGTTTTCCCAGAGGTCCCCCAGCTCCTTGTTTTAAATGCATTTGGAATCTATACCTAATTATTTTGAATGTGTCAGTCTTTTCCAACTAGTTCTATATGGCCCTCTTCTAGCATCGCTTTCCCCCCCCAAAAAAAATTTTTGCAGTAGCACTCTTCTTTAAAACATCACACACACACACACACACACACACACACACACCACAGTTTACCTTTTCACCTTTGTTCTATTTGTCCATTTCCCCTGCATTTTTTCACTGATTTTTAGAGGTCAAAATCTGCCAAACTGGCAGAACTTTTTGCTAAACTGCTAAGTAGGTCTTTATAACCAGACCTAGGGCCACATCCTTCCTATGTGGAAAAGGATAGAATATGTAAGAGTCAGGTCAGCTAACTTCACATTTAATGAGAAGGCAAATCATTTTTCTGTGAATGTGCTCACCCTCACTCCAGCCACCATCTCAAACATTTTACTGTCCTTGAACAGCTGGGTACGATGTGGCTTGTGCGGGTCCCAATAGCCCCTGCACAATTAATCCACTGCATTGGCGCCCCCAGGGGCAATGCCACCTGGAGCTTGACCTGCCTGGCCAGAGGTCTCCCTAAAAATGCTTTTGGGGGAAGGGAATTCCAGACCACCTGCTAGAATCACCTCTTTCCCTCGGTGTGAAGAGCCCATCCTTGCCCATTGCCACAGAAGCCTCACTGAAGCCCAGCTTCCTCATGCAGGTGCTGGGGCCAGTGCTTTGTCCCTCACCAGGACATCCAGGCTGGTGGCAGTGCTGGGATTGCACCTGACTAA